CTGTGCTGCTTTCTAGGGTCAGAACTTTTTGAGTTCAAAGTGACGAAGAAATTAATACGACACTACAATTTTTTTTCCAGTGCAAAAGCCTCATGGTTGTAGCTTCAGTGGTAGTATTTTACCTTACCTAGTCCCTGTACTGCTTCTTCCCAGGCCTTCTCGACCAATGCATTTCGATGGCGTATCCGAGACAACTCGCTAAGACCACGTGACCCGAAACTCATCGGCCGCGCTCAATAATGAGGCCTAGGGACTAGGCAAGTAATTTTTCCGTGAAAGAGGACAGCTTGACAGCTTGTACATCAAGTAATGTACTTTGTCAACAAGTGTGAAGCCATGTTTTCTACAAAGCGACATACGACTTGCAAGGGCACTTGAATTACTGCGCTTTTCAAAAACATGCGAATCATGAAATTCAAATTGATGATTACGTTTTTCGCTGCCATCAGTCATCTTAGCGGACCTCTTAGAAAACAAAACTTTACTTCAGCGGGTTCAAAAGGTCATGTATGGGATTTGTCATTGGTGCATGTTTCAAGGTTCGTGGCTTGTGATCTTAATGATTGACGGCAGCGAAAAACGCAATTGTGAAGGCAGCTTTTGAACTTAAGAGTTTGCATGTTTGTGAAAAGCGTAGTAAGTGCTCACTTAAAGCTAACTTCACTTCTAGTGTGCATCGCCTAGAATGTTGCGACATATCAGGGAACTTTAAGCGCACTCCGAGCGCCAAATTTGAAACGATGATCAGCGAACCGAGGCCAAAAAAGGGGAAAAAAACGGCCAAACTGTTCAGAATGGCTTACGTTTTTCACGTTTTCGCTCTAACTGTATAAAAATTATTAGTGTCAGCATATCGATTTTGTATAGAAAAGACGTCAACAAAAATACAAAACCACTGCTGACTTTGTAATCCTTTTAGAAGTACGGGCTTTTTCGCTTTGAAAATCGGCTACCGAGTCACTATTCTGTGCGAGAGGTCAAGTTTGAGGCTAAATATTTGTTCGGCAACTCACTTTATTCATGTGTCAGCATATGGTTATGTTAGTCTGACAATTAAGGAAGACTCTCTAAAAGTTTGGTACGATTACGTTCTTTGGAAGTTCTGGCTTCTCGTCAATTATTCAATCATTTATGCAGCGCATTGAGAAACTGAGTACTGTGAGTACATGTCGCAAAAGACAATAGCGTTCTGGGTAATGGAAGGGAAGACCCAAAAGAAAAAAACAGGCCTAAATAGGGACTTTTGTATTCCCTATTATTTTTGTATTAACCCATTATGTTTTTTTTTCCCTTTTTTTAAAGTTTTTTTTAATCGGGCCCGGACGAACAGTTATGTATAATCTTAACATTTATACCTCACCATATCTGATAGAAACTTTTACCGTAAGGTGTTTATTTTCTTTGAGGACAGACACAGGAAAGCAAATAACAACCTTTTTCGATACTTATAACTATAATTCCTTAACCTACACAAACTGCATTTGCGGTACGTTTTCAGGTGTTGTGCAGTGCTTTCACTAAGACACTATGCGATAGACTTAATACTCTACGGGCACCAGACAGATTCTGATTGGTGAATCATTTCTAAAGCCTTTTGAAACAATAGGGGACAGAACTCTCAAGGGGAGGAATGCGTGTCTACTTGCCCCCACCCGGAAAGGACGTACGGACGTAGGGCAACGTTTTAACGAACTTTTCTCGCATCGATAGGTGTCCACCAATTTCTATACCAATGGAGGCTCCGCCGCGCGCGCTTTTTGTTTGTGCTCAAGCCTCTTCTGGGAATTGCGAGACAATGGAGTCCGTGAAAAAAAAAAGCAATTTTGTTCCTAAAGCCTCGGAGTCGTGTTACAATTTCTAAAAACCGAACGTTAGCTAAAAGACGACAGGGTCCCATAAAAAATGAATAAATAAGGTAATAACAACAATGATGATGTTCATGATAATAATAAATCTTCGTACAACCCTACCTCTCACAAGGCTACTACTATTCGGACTTTGACGCGACGAGCGCAACTAGTTTACGAATCACCTGACAGCCTACAAGACGAGACTGATTATCTTTACAACGTTTTCAGTAAGAACAATTACAACACCGACTTTGTTAGGCGGAACACTCACAGTAACACTGATTCCAACACTCGGACCAACGTCAACTCTGGCCCAATAACGACAGCGACTATACCTTGCATCAGAGGCACCTCTGACGCACGTATATTACAACCTTACAGTATACGTGTTGCACACAAACCGATAACCACTTTACGACGACTGCTTACTAATGTCAAGGACAAAGACAAACCGGAGGACATACAGGGAGCAGTATACAAGATCAAATACTGCGAATTCCAGGCTTCTTACATTGGTGAAACTGGCAGAAACCTTACCACGCGACTGACCGAACACAAACTAGCGACGAGGAGTGGTGACGTCAATAATCACATTGCTGAACACCATTTACAGACGAAACATCACATTGACTGGGACTCTGCGACATCTATTACGTATTCTAGACTTCTATCAACGAATTACTTTAGACAGCTGGTTTGCTAACTTGTAATAAACGCCACTGAATCGTAGCCAACGGTTACCAGCACCGTACAAACGACTTATTGATGAGATTATGCAAAACTAACTACGAGAGATCGACTGGAGAACTGACAATTTGACTAACAATAGACGATTGTTTAACTGTGACAATAGATGGATCGAAACGCACCAATTACTGATTACTAGTCTTTATAGCCAATGACATCACGGCTTAACTGACAGACGACCAATAACATCGCGACGTAATTGACCAATCAGATCAATTACCAGAGTATAATACCATCAACTGAGGTGATAGATACAACTCACTTTCACTCTGAAGATGAATACCGCACAGGTTGTCGAAACGTCAGTCACTGTCAACAACAACAGTCCTATTCAGGACTCTACGTTCACCCGGGCGATCAAACTCAACCTACCTTTGAAATGACTCCTGAGTTCAAACCTTTCACAATTATAATAATAATAATAATAATAATAATAATAATAATAATAATAATAATAATAATAATAATAATAATAATAATAATAACAGGAGCCCATCAAATGGAGCCTCCATCTCCCATACAAGCCCTTGGAGTCAACCCTTTCCCGAGTAGATTCATAATTAGAACGGTTCCCAGGGGAGACTTCGCGCGCCGACGGTGGGAAGAGCCAATCACAACCACGAAATGACACTGCTATTAAATTGTACTTAATCACACAGCAGGAAATTCGGTGTTGACAGGCTAAACACAATCATGAGCCAGTGAAACGTGACTTAAGCGTTTTCATCCCTCATAGATTTTCCTTTTTTTCTTTCTAGCGGGTAGATTATACTGTGGAAAGTTTTAAACTCTGACTATGTTAATCTTAATTTTGGTTGCTTGTGTAACATTAAGAGGCCATGTAAGTGGTCTATTACATGCATAATGATTAACTACTACCTGCAGTCTGTAGTTCTGACAGTATTCGTTTTCTTTAGCCAATTTTTTTGAGCGTCAAGGTTCTTATTTCGGCTAAATGACTCAATATTAATCAAATTTCTAGTTTTTCAAGGTTTTGATCTACAGAGGTGAATTCGAAGGAAGGAATTGAGCCTAAACTTCTACATTAACTGCTGAAAATTGTCCTGTTAGTCAGTCATAATTCTTTTGGCGCAGATACAATCCATTTTGTTTTTCTTGAGATAAGTGGGTCTTTGGACTGGAGCGCGATGTCACAAATTCCTCCGTTAGCAAATTACGGTTGAGTTAACTTCACGGTCGAGCAACTGTTGTCTTCTGTTCAAATTTTCAAGCGCTAGTTTTACCAGGCAACTCTCATGGTGATACAAGTCAGTTGTAAAGGAAGACTGCAATTTCTCAAATTTCGGAACTGAAGCATTCCTCGTTACTTGCTACTTAGGTCATCGCTTTTGCACGCGGTGCTTAACTTGCGAAATCCACTCCTCGGTAATGACAAAAATCATATGATCCTGGCACTTTTTCGTCGCTGATCATCGAAAAAATCGTCCAGAGAACGTTTAATCGTCGACTCTTTTCAAGGTGCATGCTTAAATGTGGGATGTATGACGGCAAAAAAAAAACACTCGCAAAGATAACCTTTCCGTGATCCTCATTTCGCTGCCTTTGTCCCATCGCTTCATGCTCAGTCTCAGTCGGGTAATTCATTAACTTTTATTTCATGATACCCAGATCCCAGCGGCTGTAAAATTGTAAAAACGGACGTAAAGGAATAAAGGAAAACGGTCGAAAGACGGGCTTCTGAGTTCGACTTCATCCAATTTTATTTTTTCACGGTGACATACGAGACGCACGGAAATATGACACTTTTCGCGGGAAACTAGCCGTTCTATTTATAAATCTACTCGGGAAAGGGTTGACTCAAGAAATTAATGGAAATGGAGGCTCCATTTGATGGGCTCCTGATAATAATAATAATAAAGCCTGAGCTGAACTCCGCAAACAAACTGGAAGCCATCAACACCTTGGCAGTGTCAGTGGTAAATTACAGTTTTAACATCATAAACAGGACGTTAGAAGAGCTGGCCAAACTTGATACAAAGACTAGAAAGTTCCTGACCATGTACAAGATGCACCACCCAAATCTGACGTGGAAAGGCTGTAACTGCCTAGAACTGAAGGACGTAGAGGGCTCATACAACTGGAGCTTTCCTACCAGTCAACCAATATCGGTCTTGATAAATACTTCAGGAGACGCAGGGCACCCTCCTCCACTTTGTCAAAGAAATCCTTGTACTCCATCAACAGACTGTCAGTGACGTTCAGTCGGTAACTGGGAGTGCCTGCAATACCACCTGTGGAGGATGAGGCGAACACCACCTATACCCGCAGAACAAAGGCCAAGGCGAAACACCAGCCCAGGTCCAAGTGGGCATCAAAAGCGCTCCACGGCAAATACCCACAACGGGTGAAACAGGCTGACGTGGACCATAACAAGACCCACAGATGGCTAAAATCAGCTGGCCTCAAGGAAGAAACCGATGGCTTTATCATCGCAGCCCAAGATCAAAGCCCCCAACACGCTGGTACCAACAAAACATCCTCAAGAAGCCTGACGTGGACCCAAAATGTAGACTGTGTGGCCGTTTCGAGGAGACCATTGACCATCTGGTCTCTGGCTGCCCTGAACTGGCTAAAACTGATTATATCCACCGCCACAACAAGGCAGCTGCACACATGCACTGGAAGGTCTGCAAAGAGTGTGGCATTAAGGTGAAGGAACGATGGTATGAGCATGAACCCAAGCGGACTGTCGCCGAGAATGACAGCGTCTGTGGGGCATGCCCATCCACACTGACAGGACCATAGCAGCTAATAGGCCGGACACTGAGCTTAAGAACAAGAGGGATAAAACCTGCCTTCTCATTGACATGACTATACCCCTCGACACCAACACCTCAGTCAAAACCACGGAAAAGCTTACCAAATACAAAGACTTGGAAATCGAGGTTGAGCGAATGTGGGGGCTCAGAACAACAACAGTCCCGGTGGTTATTGGAGCCCTTGGCACTGTCAAGAAGGACATGGAAAACCACACCAACAAAATCCCTGGCAACATAAACATACATGGACCCCAGAAAATAACTCTCCTTTCTACAGCCCACCTTCTCAGGCGGGTCCTTTCCATCAAGTAGAAACCCTCTTTGCCCCCCAGTCCATGATTTGGACTCGGATGTTGAGAGAGAGAGTCAATCGAAATTACACTAGGATATCTTATATAATAATAATAATAATAATAATAATAATAATAATAATAATAATAATAATAATAATAATAATAAGAGAGCAAGAAGAAGAGAAGAAGCGCAAGTACCAGCAGCGGGTGTTAGATGTAGAAATGGGTTCGTTTACGCCTTTAGTGTTTGGAACCAATGGCGGAATGGGAAACGAGTGTCAGCGGTTCTTAAAGCATCTCGCAGACAAGATAGCTCAGAAAGACACCGAGCCTTATCATGTTGTAATCACTTGGCTCAGGACACAGATCTCGTTTGAACTCTTAAGATCGGTGCATGCATGCGTCAGAGGTTCGCGAACGCCGTTTCGTAGCAAGATAGAGCAATCATTAGACTGTAAAATAAATGTCGCTAGTGCGGATATCTGAAATACGTGTCTATATGCTTTTATACTTAGGGCTTTTTATGGACACTGGTTTAGCCGTCATTAGTATAATTCGATTGTATGGTCTTGATATGCATAATGGCATTCTTAATTTTATAGAATTTTGAACTTTTATTATTGATTATATCTATTTCCTCTTCTTTTATGTAAGGTTAAGTTACTTCTATTTTTTTAGAATTTGTAAATGAATAGTTTTCTCTTTCTTCACTTATTATATATAGGATTTTTTTTGTTCTGTAATGAAGGAATTGTAGATAGTGTTTTGATGAATTGATTAGATTTTTTGTAACAGCAGGTTGATTGTAAATAGGATTTTAATTGAGGTTTTGTAATAAAGATTTAATTATATAATAATAATAATAATAATAATAATAATAATAATAATAGTAATAATAATAATACCTGTTTACCGCGCACACGACTTCTCCGTCTTACCAAAAGCCTTCTTCTGCTGAGATGATAAGCCTTTTCTTCAGGTCCATAGTCTAAGTAAGTGCGCTGCTGAGAATACTCCCAACCTTGAAAATCATAGAAACATCATCCATCAGTCACTATGCGAATTCAGTCAGTTTAATCAAGAATGCCAGATATAATTTAGTGTAATGGCCTATACTTCCAACTTTCCCCAAGCCTCTTTTTTAAATCATGGTTAAGTGCGACGCCATAGATATGAAAATAATTTTTATTTCATTCAAATAAAACACATTTTTGCACGAAAGGTTTTGCACCTACCCTTGTTTTGAAAGTGAGATTTTCTGGAACTTGGAAATGGCCTATTGAGAATATCACCCGAGCAACATACAGAACCCTTAGTAAATCCAACACTCTTTTGAATGTATTTTTAAGCTATTTTTGAAAACTGTTTTTAACCTGTTTTGTGAAATAGGTTTTAAATAGGGTGAAAAGTTTTTTAAATGTATTTTTCGACTGTTTTTAAAGGTGTTTTAACCTGATTAAAACGCAACAAAAAAATATATTTTTTGAAGTACTTTAAAATTCGTTTATAATATATAAAGTATTCTAGGGCTTTTGCAAAGCTTAAAACAGGATAAAACAGTTTTAAAAACATATTTTAATTTGCAATACTATTTCAAACTATTTTTAATGACAATTTTAAACGTATTTTGGAAAAAGAAAACAAACAAAAACGAAAACAAACAGGTTTAAAACAGGCACAAAAATATATTTTTAATATATTTTCTCACTGATTTTCAATCAATTTTAACCTGTTTAAAAAGCTATTGAAATTTAATTGGTTTTGAAATTTAGTAATTCCTAAAGACATCCCGCAAATACTGCTCTCCGCCATTCCATAACCCTTTCACTTCTAATATTAAAGAAGCTATTGCAAAAAAATCGCACTTCCAAATCCGTTTTTTCTTTTTAATTTCAAGAAATGAATTGTACCTTTTGGGTGGTAACACCATCGGATTTCAACCGCAAATGTAAAATGACATATCACTTTATAACAAGATCCAGCGTAAGTGGCTTTGCCAGTAACAACTAAGGCGTTCACGTTAACCACCGATTTATTCTCGTGATATCTCATTTTTCTTTGCAAAGTGTCCTGGATTCACGACTTCACAAAAAATTGTTTAAGGTGTATAAACCCCGGGGGGGAGGGGGGTATTAAAACAGAAAAAGATATGTCTCATAAAGTTTGCAGCGTTTGATGTGATCGACCCCAATAGAGAGTTTGATTTACAGAACTGATTTTTATGAACAAGTTGACCGTCCCAGTAGTATCGTATTGTGTCATGAACTTAGTCACCTCATTAACCAAGCCGTGAATGATCAAGGAAGAATTCCTTGCTCTACAGTATAGTGAAACCTCGATTCAGGGGACACCGTAGAGACCAAGGCAAGTATCTTCTGAAAAGAGGTGTCCACTGAATGGAGCATGAACTTGGGTTTGTTAATAATTAACTTAAAAGTATTTTTTTTATTTGGCCTCGGAATCTGCTGCAGTCATTATTTCAAGTAGCTAGGTAATGTATAAAAAAATAATGGTTAACT